CCCCACCCCGACCCTTGCCTGCGCCGCGCCCTGCAACGCGCTCCACGCGCGTATGCTTGTCAGTGCCAGACGCGGAACCAGCTCACCCAGTACATTCAGCTCAGTACAACCAGGTCACCCATACATTTACATTTTACTGTTGTCCTTAAAAAATAAATAAAAAACGTATGCATAAAGAGAATAAACAGAAATCTATACAGCAGAGAGCGTTAGCTTATAATCTTCAGTAATTATTCGATCAGATGGAGGAGTTGATAATTTGAAAATAATATAAAAGATAATTAAAAATTTATTTTTACGGACATATTTTTCAGAGATAATTTACATTTTACAAAACTATGATTGATATATTTTAATATTAGTTTCATTCAATTTATTGTTCTTAATGTTTCCATTCGTTCGTGAGTTTGCCATAGAAACATTCTATTTTTTCACCTCTATCCGTCATTAAAGGAGCCGCCGTAGCTCAGAGCCAGCAATGCATCTGTCTTCGCAATGACTCTGACCGGGAGGTTTTGAGTTAAAGACCCAACGGTGATGGTATTTGGACCCGAGTTATGTATGTCGAATTTGTCCGCTGTCTGGAGAAGGATTCTAGCGGCCGACTGCTCTAATCGGTTCTCCTTGGCTTCTCCGATCAAAACCAGGCGAATGCCGGAGCAGTACCTTAACAAGCGGGCCATGGACCGGTCGCGATCTTTTCTTTGTCTTCCTTGTCTTATCTTTACCCCTTACTTGCACACACAACACACACAAGCACTACACTACCACATATACCGAGAGTTCAGTCGGGAGTCTAGAGCTTATCCGGACTGGGCCGTGTCTAGGCGAGGAGAGAGAGAGAGAGAGGGGGGGGAGGGAGAGGGATGGCAAATTGTCCACGTGCCAATGAGCAGGCTGGTGACGGATCTCTCCATCCTGCGGGGGAAGAAACACCTCCCGGGATAAAAACATTCACTACAGCGTAGTGACTAATAACTACAGCAGTTGAGATTCTGAAAACATCAATGAAAGAAACAAACCACCCGTCATTAATTAATGTAGTTTTGAATTAGAATTCTTTCTTTTCTACTCGAATGTAGAACATCTTTACTTATCCCTTCCCTGTCTTCCCATTACTCACTTCTCTCACCTGTCCCCCTGTCTTACATTTTCCTTCTAATTTCTTAAAAATGCAGTCATATTTTCAATTTTATCTTGATCACGCTATTTGTTATCACTTTAATTATGCTTTTCCATTATCCCAAAGCACGACTTTTCACTCTCTATTTATTTCCTATCGACCAATGCAAATACTGAAAAACGCTGTTAGCTGCTGTAGAGCATCTATTATTTATTCGAAAGATTAAAAGGACGGACGACACACTTTCTTTTCTCGACTTCTGGAGATCCATGTTTCCGGAGTAAAAGTTTGCCCTACTGAGATTTGATCAAAAGTAGTGTGTCATTGGACTCAACCAGTAGTGCAGAAATACGAATCTGCGGTGTTTTGTGTTAAAGGGCAGAGAAAATTAACGAGGTATGTTTGAAATGATTGTATAAATTAATGTTGAAGGTGAGGAAACACACCTCCGCCTTCAATACAGCTGCAGCTGTCAGAAGTTTAATTAATTCATTCCCATTATTTTTAGTGATTGAATGATATTTTATTGCATACGTAGAAAAAAAGATGATATTCCAAAACCTTTCTTGTTCATTCACACTGAACTTCACACAATCATAAACTAATACTCACATGCAATAGCGGCGCAGGGTTGTCGTTCTCAAGAAAAGTTCACAGGGAGTCTCAGTCTTTACGTCTTCTGGAACGCCTGCGTGAAGATGTCAACTCTGTCAAATACTCCTCCAACCATGCTAGTGATAACAATACTTCGTCTGCAGGGAGATAAGTCAGTTATGGGTCAAACAATGCGCAAAGGGGTCTTGCTCTGACGAGGTAAGGCGGCCGTCTCCATTTTACATAGCCTACAAAGGAAGTAGTATCAGAGAAAAAATTTTGAGGAATCAGATTTTTCTGGAAGAAGTTTTAGAACTGTATTGATAATATTTATATGTACAATCTTATTAAGGAAAACAAAAATAAGAAAAGAATACTAATCTCGAAATCATTGTGCCAAGATATCAATGTGACTTGACATCTGGATTTTTTTAAAATATTTCTTATTGATTTTTTAAAATATATCTATTAAAACTGTTCATAAACATAGGCTAAATTATGAATCCATTCAAATTCATAATTATGTTATTTTTTAAAATAGTATAAGAATACATATATTATAAGGAGTTAAATAGTATAAGAATTAAGATATAAATAAGAGTAGAGAAATTTTGATTGTATAGAAAGCCGCATGGATTTTGTCGATATTGTCAAAAAGTAGTGTATAGTAAAACTGAGTGAAGTTTTTTTAGTTGCTACACAAATAAATTTAACCATTTCCTTCTCACCGAATACGTCTTTCAAAATCTAACTTCCTTAGAAGGTCATGAATAGCTTCGGTCGCCATTTCTACCATTAGACAGTCACAGTACTCAGAATGTCTTTGGTGCGGGAAGTGCCGAAAGTGGTGGGGCGTACTCACGTATGTCTTGAGCGGCTTGACGCGGAAGCCAAACTTGGCGGCGCCGCGCGACGGGTAGGTGAGCAGGTTGTTGAAGCCGGGCTCGGGGTCCTCCCACACGGGCGCGGGCGGCACGGGCGGGTAGGGCACGGGCGGCGGCGGCGTGGGCAGCGCGGGCATGATGGGGCTCAGCTTGCCCGACCACACCATGATGGGCTTGGGCTTGCCCGCGGCGCGCGGCGCCAGCAGCGCCCACGCGCACAGCAGCCCCTGCGTCACACGCCCAGCGTCAGCACGCGCGCACGCACCACAGATACTTGGTGGAGGGGCACCCGAACTCCACACCCTCGGCGGCACTCACGTCGTCAGTGCAGGATGGCTGCGTGAATGGACGAGTTGAGGGCTCCGAGCCACCCGGGCCATAATCTGGGTAGCCCCCAGTTGGGCACTTGGCTTTGCTGGCAGTGCCCGTATCTCGTGGACAATTGACTAGGCATTCGTCTCGAAGAATTATGATATACTTTATCTGACTCTGTGTTAGCCCGGGCAGCTAGAAGCCCTGAGCTACCCAGATTTAAATGGAGAGGTGCCCCTCTGGGATGCTGCGTTCCAGCGCATCCGGAAACCCGCCAAAAGTTGAGGGGTATATCTGCGGGGTGGATGATAATGCCTAGATGCCCACCCTTGGAGATTACAATTCCCCTGGTAAAAATGAGAACTGTGGAGATGATAGGCTGTTTCAGAAATACCTCATTTTCTTTACACGAAGATGTTATTTAGGAAAATTCTGCTGTTAAGTTCAAATCCATTTTGTTACTAATTTTGTGGATTCCTTGAGGGTAAAAATTTTCCTTGTGTCCCCATATCACCAAAACACCATTGCACACTGGTAGTATATCCGTGTAAGAACTCTAGAAAAATATCAATCAAAATTAAATCTCCCCTCCTAATCAGTTCGCGTTATCTACTCAGCCAAGGAAACAAGCAAAGGGAGAATTCAGAGTGGACAGATAATTGGCCACTAGACGCAAATTTGGGTGGCAAATTTATCTGGAAGTATTGGGAGCTCTTAGTGGTGGCAAAATAAACAATACAATCCAAGTCAAAGTGGTCGAATGAGTAAAGACAGATCCCTGCCTTTAGGTAGAACTAGTGGTACTAAAACAGCATATTCTTTCTCGCCTTTAGTAATGGTTATGTAATACTATTTATACTGCAATTCCTCTCCGAATAAACACA